TATGGTCAGATGGTGGGGTTTTAGCTGAGATGTGAGGGAAACCAGTAGGTGAGGATGAGGAAGAAGATAATTCCAGGACAGCATTGTGAAAATGTTTAAAGCTCAGGTTGGAAAGTATTATGCTTGAGGATCAAAGACCCAGGAGGCCAGAACACAAAGTATGGGAGTGAGGGGGTGAGAGACTAAGGTGTAAGAAGACTGGAAAGGTAAGAGGAGTCCAGGGTACGGAGGGCTTTAAAACAGAGGATTTTGTATTTGATCCTGGAGGTAAAGGGGAGCCATGGTGAGATTTTCAAACTTGTTTAGTCTGCAAGAAAAACCACTAAGGCAGAGCTCTAAGCCAATGGCACTTTATGAAAGGGACCATGGTCCCCTCTAATGAAGTAGACCTCAAATCTTCCTTAGGATGCCACTTTCCTCTAGGGCCTTAGTTTTACAGCATCTGATACCTGGACAACACAGAGCAGACCAGAAATACAGAGTCTTGTTGGTGGATGGACCCTCCAGGAGGGTGTACACAAAATACAGAATCCCAGTGGCTGACAAATGGGCTAATGAACAGACCTTAACAGACCTATCCTGACCTTTCAGGAGGCCCTACTAAGCTGATGAGCACACCCATGGGCTGGTAGGAAAGCAGGCTGCAGGCTGGCAACCAAGGTCACTCAGCCTCTACATGCTTATGATCCCATGATGGGCAATGGCGGGATGGCAAGCGATGGAGGGAGGGGCAACAAAAACAGCTGGGGGGATTTCCATGTCATTGAGTCACCTTGGCCACACTGGGCTTGGTCACCATAACAAGGAAAACAAGGGTGGAGGTTCTTTAGGTAGCGTCCTATGATTAGGTAAGTGAACTTACCATCTGCAGTTCACAGCTCTGAAGTCTAATATCAGAAAATCACTACCCTACGGAGTTACATCAAACTGATTGGAATAAAACAAGGATCCAATTAATCATCCATCACATATTGGAATGTATTGAGTAGGAAGGTGACCTGGTAAGGACCCGTGAGATCACTTGGACAGCTGAGTGGACATGAGGCTAAAGAGACCACCCGGAAGGCCACTGCGATGGTTCAGGCATGATCAGCCAATCCAGCTGGATTCGGCCCTACCCCCTCTTTCCTGATGCCCTCTCTTTGTCTGATACAATGGTGTTTGCTCTGTTGACTTCCTCTGTTGATTGTTCCTTGACGCTTTCCTCTGTTCATTCCTTTTCCGTAATTTCAGGATTTATTACATCAACAGATATTTACTGAGCACCTACTATGTGAAAGTCACCGTGCTAGGGCAGTGGGGGACAAACATGTATATGAGACATTCTCCACTCTCTAGATGTTTACAACGCATCAGAGGAATTAAGAGGTGCATGAATAATTACAGCATCTGTTGCTCTCTCTTGGCTATTATCATCAGTTTATAATATTTTATCGAGAACTAGCCAGGGGTCAGGAGATCCTAAAGAAATAGTAGGGATTGTCCTCATCTCTAAGAAACTTAGAATTTAGTTGGGATATGCCGACATAGAGGGTAGCAAGGTGGCGCTGTGGGTAGAGTACTGGTCCTGGAGTCAGGAAGACATCCTCCTGAGTTCAAATCTGACCTCAGATACACACTAGCTGTGTGACCCTGAGCAAGTCACTTAACTCTGCCTCAGTTTCCTCATCTGTAGCTAGAGAAGGAAATGGCAAAGGTACATTCTAGTTATCTCTGCCAAGAAAACCCCAATGGGGTCATGAAGAGTTGGACACAACTGAAGAACAACATGCAGATATAGAGTATAGGAAAAAGCTAAAACATAGGGGAAAAAAGCTAAAAAACATTAACATTGAACAACTGCAGATACATATTAGCATAGCTTGAGAGGCAGCAAGATTCAGCGGATGGAGAATTATCCTTGAAGTCAGCAAGACCTGTGCTGTTTACGACTTGCTTCTCTCATCAGAAATGTGACCTTGGGCAATTCATGCAGTCTCTCTGAGTGCCAGACAGTTATTTAGGAAAACAAATCATCCCTGAGTTGGTGATCTGCATGGATGGAATTCTACATCTGGTATTCTCCAGAGCAGGGGACAGCCACAGGGGGACACACGGAGGAACAACAAACAGAAATTCTTGTGTAGTCAGCACCAAAGTTGTAGGCAGAAAAACATATCCCAGAGAGGGTCATGCCTCCTGAGAGAGAAGTGAAATTTGAGTCAGGTTTTGACAGAGGCCAGGGACCTGGATGGGCAGGGAGAGAAGGAGTGGCATGAAGAGAGTGAGGAGGTCAACGGTCAGCAAGCAAGGCACCACAAATACCTTGGCATGGCCAGAGTAAAGGCTCCATGTGCTGGATTTCAAAAGTGGGGCTTGGGAAATTGCAAAGGTGAGAGACCACTGGCCAGAACCATTGAAGAAGTTTAGACTGGATATGATAAACGAGGAAGAGTGAAGGTTCTCAGGCTAAAATCTTGAAACCAAGTGACTCCAGAGAGTTGTCCAGATAATAATAATAATAATGCTCTGCATTTATATAAAGCTACAGTTTTCAAAGTGCTTTACAGACTTTTTCCTCACCTGAGCCTAACAACAACCCTGTGAGGTTAAGTTCAAAAGATATCCCCATTTTATAGATAAGGAGACTGATGCTGAGAAAGTTTTAAGTGACTGGCCTTGAGTTATTTAAAAAAAAAAAGCATTTGTGCATTTATTATATGCCTGGCTGGGGATACAGAGAAAGGCAAAAACAATCCTTGCCTTCAAGGAGTTCACTTTTCTAAAGGAGAAAAGATGATTTTTTTTGGGGGGGGGAAAGGTACCCACAAGATATACACAAAACAGATGGAAGGTGAGCTTTGAGGGGAAGTCACTAGCAGCTGGGAGGACCAGGAAAGCCTTCATGTAGGAGGAGGGATCTTAGGTCAGTCTTGAAGGAAGCCAGGGAAACTGAGGCAGGGTTGAGGAAGAATAGTCTGTGCCAAGGTAAAGGGATGGGAAAGTGGATCGTTGTGTTTGAGAAAGTGGGCCAGGGTAGTCAGGAAATGTTGGAGGAAGAATTTGAACCACAGTCTTCCCGACTCTGAGTCCAGCATTCTGTCCACTATGCTGCAATATACTGTCCCCATTTGGATCTACAGAGTGTATCTGTGGTTGTCGTTTATTTGTTTCAGTTGTGTCTGACTCTTCGTGACTCCATTTGGGCTTTTCTTGGCAAAAATACTGGCATACTTAGCTATTTCCTTCTCCAGCTCATTTTACAGATGAGGAAACTGAGGCTAACAGTGTTATGTTACCTGCCCGCCATTTGAACTCAGGTCTTTGTCTCCAGGCCCAACGCTCTATCCACTGTGCCACCTAGTGGCCTTGGTCTATCTGTAGCTAGGGACTATATGAAGCAGCTAGGTGGTGTAGTGGATAGAATGAGGACAGACCTGAGTTCAAATTCTGCCTCAGACATTCACCAGCTGTGTGACCCTGGACAAGTCACTTAATTTTTGTCTGCCTCAGTTTCCTCAACTATAGAATGGGGGTAATAATAACACCTATCTGCCAGGGTTGTTGTGTGGATCAAAAGAGTGAATATTTATAAAAATGCTTTGCAAACTTTGAAGCACCACATAAATGTTAGATATATATAGCTTGGAGGCAGTTTTCAAAAATGTTGTACCTGATAGGTCATACAAACATAGAGGGAATCAAAGCCATTCATCAGATAATCTGAGGCTCAAAAATTTTTCATTCTAGCAAGATATTCTGACCTAAATTACCAGAATTATTTTCTTGGTTCATTTTAATTCAGCAAGCAGTAAGGCCCCTAAGCGATAAGCACCAACCTCCCCAGGGTTGCTGTGAGGAGTAAAAGAGATAGTAATTGTACCGTGCTTTAGCCCACAGTGCCTGGCATGGAGTAAGTGCTATAGAAATGTCAGCTGTTGAATATGTGTCAAGCACAGTGGTTCATGCTGGAGAAGGCAAAAAGCAAAATCAACAGCCACCATCCTCGTCCTCAGGGAGCTTACATTCTCCTGGGAAGACGATACAGTAGGCACACAAATGAAGAAATATAAACTTCATACAAAGGAGTGAAAAGTCTTTCCAAGTGGGAGAGAATGGTGATAGACTCCAGGGTGGGTTGAAGAAGGTCTCACACAGAAGATGGCGCTTTGAGCTTTGAAGGAAGCTAGAAACTCTGAGGAGGAAAGTAAAGGAGGAATGCATTCCAGGGAGGGGTTACTGATTGTGCAAAGGTGCAGAGGTGAGAGATGTTTGCCTCTTGGTTTAGATTTTTGGAAACCTGAATTCTATCACCCAGCCTCCTCCTTTGACAGATGAAGAAGCCAAGGCTCAGGGAGTTCTAAGCTTTCAACAAGCTCAAAATTTAACCCCACCCCCTTGGGAGAGTGACTGACCTCTGTCCTCCTCCAGCCTGGGAGTAAAAGAGAAGAGTTCTTATTTCTCTTATTAGGATACTTACCAGGGGCAGGTAGGTGGTGCAGTGGATAGAGCACCAGCCCTGGATTCAGGAGGACCTGAGTTCAAATGTGACCTCAGTGTTATGTGTTATAACACTTACTAGCTGTGTGACCCTGGGCAAGTCACTTAACCCCACTGCCTAGCCCCCCCCAATGATAGTTACCTTCCTCAGTCCCACTTTCCCTTTAAAAATGGGAATTTCTGTTTTGTTGAAATGCTTTATTTTATTTCAGCCAAACCCTCACACACTGCTTCTGGTTTCACAGCAGAAAGCAGAAACGGGGCATGTAGAAGTGCCCAGCGAGGAAAAACCCTCACAAAACAGCCACAAATCACAAGCACTAAAGGGGAAATAGGATGGAAATGAGAATATGATAAATTTTTCTTTTAGATAAAAGAGCATATGGGGTCAGGGTGTGGAGAGAAGAAGGGGGAGGACAGGGAGGATCCCTGCTGTGGCTCAGCCCTTAGAGCCTGTTGACTGGGCAAAAATCTGGGACAGCTGCCCATAGCTGCCTTGATTTGAGCCAAACTATTCTGACACAACCTGCTCCTTTAACTCGGCAGCTGATTGGACCTGATTGTAAACCGCCCAGAGAGCTGGGTCCTGAACCTTAAAAAGGGGTGAATTCTTCTGCAATCAGCCTGGACTTTTCCCTTTGGACTCATGGCGGTCACAGTCTCCATTCTCCAGCTGGCCGTCTCTGTCACTGTATTCCCCATCTTTCTACTCCACTTCTTGGGCCTATGGGAATGGATATGCAAGAAGATCTTTCCTTACTTCATGGTGCAGTTCACTGAAAGCTACAACAGAGAGATGGCTGCCAAGAAGCAGGAGCTCTTTAGCAACCTTCAGGAGTTTGCTGGATCCTCGGGGAAGGTGGCCTTGATAGAGGTTGGCTGCGGCTCGGGCGCTAACTTTAAATTCTACCCTCCCGGCTGCAGGATCACCTGTGTTGACCCCAACCCCAACTTTGAGAAGTTCCTGATCAAAAGCATTGCTGGAAACCGACACCTACAGTTTGAACGCTTCCTAGTGGTTCCAGGGGAAGACATGCACCAAATAGAAGACAACTCCATGGATGTGGTGGTCTGCACCCTGGTCCTGTGCTCTGTACAGGAGCAGGAGAAGTTCATCAAAGAGGTGCACAGAGTGCTGAGGCCGGTGAGTCTTGGAGAGGACACAAGAAGGGCCCTTTTCAACACAGCCTGCTCCTAGGGAGCCTAGCACGTTTCTAGAATCCAGGAGGTCCTAGCAATGCCCCTTTCTTCCATTCACTCATAGTTACTTATGTAATATTAGTTATGTAACTGGCTATATCAGAGCATTGTGGGTGGCTTCCAGCTAGCTCCCCTATGCTTTTTAGACTGCACCAGGGTCTTTGCAGGAGAGCATAAAGCCTCCTCAATTTTTTTCAGAGCTGGAAAAGACTGAATAGCTTATCTAAAGTCATATAGGTAGCTGGTGGCAAAGCAAGGGTGCAAGGCTAATATCTCCTAACTCCCATGCCCACACTGTGTTTCCTTGATCATGTGAGAAAGGGGTTTGGCTTGAATTATCTGAATAACTGTGGCTGCATAGTCTTGCCCTGAGAACTGAAAAGCTGATTATGTTCTGATGAAATTACAGCATTATAATACAGATACAGAAGCTCTGAAATGCCAGAAAATGATTCTAGCACAATTCTTTTTATCAGAAGCCTCCTATTTGATGGAAATCTGCATATGAAATATGCCCTGGAAAGTTTCCTGGTGATTTCAGTCTTGCCTTCTTATCTGAAACAATACAACCTTTGCTCTAAGAAAATGTTTGAAAATGATTGGTGTATTTACTGATCACTATTGTCTAACATTTTATGATATCCCCAAAACTTAACTCTGTTAGTTAGGATCAAAGAAAACAGAAATTGAGGCATGAATTTACTGAAATAATACAGACCATTCAGGTGGCATCTCCAGAGCCATGGCTAAGAAATTAGCTAGAATAATTCGGGTCAGATAAGTAAGGCCTCAAAGTTATTTTTGCCTCAACTGTCTCCCTGGTAAAGTTGAGAAATCTTTTAGAAACAGAGTTAGACTCTCCCTTGTAAATCTTTAAGGAAGATATTTCAGGAGAATATTACTATATAGTAGTGATATAACTAAGGTAGCACTAAGTGCTACAGGGTGCCTAAACTTGAAGTATGTTAGATCTAGAGTATGCTGACAGCCCTGGTACTCTTCTAGAAACATGAAAACAACAGAGCTTCGCACTGAATTGGTAAGAATAATTGGTTAAAATAGGAAGCTACTTGGTGGCTGTCTAAGGTGACCTTCTCCCTTGCTACACACCCTACTCTGTCCTCCTCCTCACCCCAAGTAAGGTCTGCCTCAAGACACTTGTTCTGGATTTGATTTATGATACTTGTGGCACAGACAAAAATTTAGTGGCACATGAAAAATTCCATTCAGCAAATTATCATTGCCTGTGGACACTTTAGAGCAAGGATTCTAGGGAGAGTCAGGGTCTAAGACTCCAGTTGGTATCTAACAGCAGACCCAGAATCAGGGCTTGTCCCTTTACCTGTCCTTCAGGCCTTCAGAATGGTAGGGGTTCTTGACCTGGAGGGGTCTGTGAACATTTTTTTTTTAATTTTGAAAGCTATATTTAATTACAATTGTTTTCCTTTATAATCCTGTAATAATATAATTATAAATATAAAATAAACATTAACATATTGCTATAATATATTACATATCCATATGTTATATAGATAATATAAAATAAATATAAATAATAATATTATAATATAATCCTATAATAAAACACTGTTCTGAGAAGGGGTCCACGGGCTGCACCAGAAGGACAGAGGGGTCCACAACACCAAAAGGGTTAAGAACCCAAGGACTACTCTATGGAGTCAGATGTCCACCCTAATATTTTGGAACCCCCATCTTAGATGGGGGGGGAGTGGATTTCACCTTCCTCCCAAAGGAAAACCACAAGTCCTAAAAAGTGAAGCAGAGGAGAGTCTGGAACGTATCGGTCTTCCTCAAATATAAAAACATCCACATTACATTTATACCGAACGTTCTTCCAGTCTTCACCTGGGCCCTCAGAGTCACCCGCGGTTGTCTGCAGCTCTGCGGCTCAGTGGATTTCCTTTCCGTTCCTGGCAGCTCCGGGAGAGGGAGCGGGGCGAGAATCCTTGAGGGAAAGGGGCAGGTACGGGGAAAAGGTTGAAAGAATCGACTAAAGGCTTCTGGTGGATACAATTTATTCAAGGCTCCTTGGCTCCTCATTGACAAATAATCCATTACAAGTTGATTTGTGGATAAGGGAAAGTTGGAGAAGATGCATTAACTTTAGGACTTTGCATGGTCTGAAATACCTGAAATGATTTCTTTTCTTAGGGAGGTGCTTTTTATTTCATTGAACACGTGGCAGATGAACCGTCCAGCTGGAATTTCTTCTGGCAACAAGTCCTCCGGCCAACATGGCAGCTAATGTTTGATGGTTGCGACTTGACCAAAGAGACCTGGAAAGCCCTGGAGCAGGGCAGCTTCTCCAAGCTGAATCTGCAGCACCTGCAGGCGCCCCTCCCCTGGAAGATGGTCCGGCCTCACATCATTGGATATGCCACGAAATAATGTGGGAGGGTCGGGAAGACGGGGAGGGTCTGGGAGGAGTTTCCTGTTCTTTTAAAACTAAATATAAAAACATTGTGGGTAAGGGGAAGAAGGGAAGGGAAGGGAAGGGAAGGGACGGCTATTCTCTCTTTCATACTGAAAGGAGGGGAGGGCAGAATGGGAAAAGATGCTCTGTTATATTATATATTCCTAATTCCTGATCTTCTGGGGGGAAAAAAACATGAAAAAAAAATGCAACCCAGCTCTCAGCTATCCAGGATGATTAGGAAATATTTATTGTGAAATACCCAGATAATCTCAAAATCACATTCTATTCAGCACCTTCGACTTTTCCAACAATATGACATCTTACTGCAGTTGTTAACAAAGGGTGAGGTTGAAATGGACTTGGCACCCAGCCCTCCCCCACACACACTCCCTTGCTACTAATAATGTCCAAATTTGGGCAGTAGAAAGGAAGAGAAGCTAACTTGGTAATCTACATAGCCAAACACGGAGGTCCTAATAATTGAATTTATAAGGCACAACAAATTCCCAAAAAGAGATTATCAGGATTCAGTTTCAGGAGGAGGATTTTTTGAGCCTGGTCTTCTGGGTGCCGTGATTCATTTTGCTCAAAGAGGTCTTTTCCACCTCTTGAGTTCCATTGGTTTTTATTTGTACGTATGTCTAACACTGGTCTCAGCTTATTCCAAGCATACATAAACACAAAGCTGTATTTTATTATGTGGGATAAAGTGCCCTATATTTAAGCACTAGATTGCAAATGCTTGAGTAAATAAGAGCACACAAGGAGACAGCAGAGCTCTGAATGTGGAATTGGTGGATTTGAATTTGAATCATGACTCTGCATGTCCCTGGACAAATCCCTTAGTCTCTCTGGGACTTATTTTCCTCATCTGTAAAATGAGTAGGTTGAATTTAGATGACCTCAAAGGCCCCTTCTAGCTTTAAATCCTAGAGCCTAAAAGATTATAAAATGTGTGTCGCATATAATTTTGTTTGATCTGGTAGCAAACCCTGGGAGGTATATTATTATCCTCATTTTACAAGTGAGGCTCAGAAAAATCAATCCAGTGACTTGCCCAAGTTACATAACTTATCCAACATTCACACACATATGGCTATATTGGATAAACTCATATAACTTTCATGTAAACTTTGTGTATATGTATATATTTGTATAAATGTATGTATTTGCTTTCTTTACATATACACATGTGTTTATGTGTGTTTTATATATGCCTATATATGCTTTATGTCTACATATATAAAGTTTACATCCAAGTTATATAAATTTATCCAACTGATAAAGAGCAGAGTCAAGAAGTGGTCTTAAGTCCTCAGTCCATCCATCTCAAATGTTCTTCCTACTGTGTGCCTTATCAATCAGTTGTTTTTTTTTTTTAGGCAATTGGGGTTAAGTGACTTGCCCAGGGTCACACAGCTAGTAAATGTCAAGTGTTTGGTCTGAGGCCAGATTTGAACTCAGGTCCTCCTGATTTCAGGGCCAGTGCTCTATCCACTGCGCCAACTAGCTGCCCCTACTGTGTGCCTTAGAAGGGCAAACATTTTTCTATTCGAGCCATAGCCAAGTGTATTTATTAGGATTATTAATACCCAAGTCATTAGTTACTGAGGAAACCAGACTCTGTGGCTTGTAATTATTAATAAGTCTGATTAGATTATTCTTTGATGTATTTTGGCTTATTAGTTTTAGTGTCTACCTGCCATTCAGGTGCAATAGCTTTGGGCAAGATAGGGGTGAGCCCCCAGGGGATTAAGAAGGTTGTAGGTATTGTAGTCTAGGTAAGCTCAACTGGAAGGTGGACCAGGCAACTTCATAGGATGAGCCTCACCATAAGCCCAGGGCATGGCATTTCTTTGTTCTGAGTGGCTGGTGTAATAGCAGCTATGGGAAGCCAGTTGGGTTGCCTCAGGGCTTTGGAAGTAGGGGTTAAGTTGTTCTGTCTTTGGAAGATTTCATGGGTTCGGTATTGTGTGGCAAATCTATTTTCTTACATGTTGTATTAAATTCGGCGTTTGTCTCAAGAGGGCTTTGCAAAGGGAACTTTTTTTAAAAAAAATCAAATCAATAAAGAAGTTCCTGGGTTTTTTTTAATCAAATTAAATGTTATGTCTTTATTAATTCTTAGATATTTTTGTTGTCATTTTTCTTCATATTTCTAGGAAGTCTTCTCATTTTGGATATTTATGCTATTTGTGTGTGAGCTTACTGTGCAAGTCAGTGGTAGATCTTGAAAGAATCTTAAAGCTGCCCTCCTTTTAAAATGTGTAATTATCGATTTACATGCAAATACCGAAACGACCTGTAATTTAGTCAGAATGAGTATGAAAACTCCCTCACTCGAAAAGATCATGACCAACTTACAACTTAGTAGATAAGTCCTAGGAAGGAAGTTGTTCAAAGTACATAGAGGCTAAATGATTTGCCCATTTGCAACATGGCTAATATGAAAATGTTTTACATGACTACACATATATGATCTATATAAAATTGCTTGCCTTCTTTAGGAGTGGGGAGAGGAGGGAAAGAGATAAAGAATTTGGAACTCAAAATTTTAAAAAATTAATCTTAAAAATTTTTGTTGACATATAATTGAGAAAAAATAAAATAAAAATTAAATGAAAAAATATTTATCCAGAATCACACAACTAGTAACTGCCAGAGGCAGATTTGAAACTGCATCTATTTCCAAGTTAGTCCCTCAAGCCCTGACACTGGGCTGCTTCTATTACAGATTTAATAACCATCAACAAAATCAACTAACCATACAAAACAAGGAATAAAATCTTACTTAAATCTTTAGCAATGTAGCACTAAGTAGACAAATAAAAAATGTTTGCTGCCTGCCCCCTTCCAAGTTCATATGAAATTCTACTATCTTTGACAGTGTGTGTGTGTGTGTGTGTGTGTGTGTGTAAAATAGGTACCAAAGTATAGTGGATAGAAGGCTAACCTTAGAATGTGTGTGTGTGTGTGTGTGTGTGTGTGTGTGTGTATGTGTGTGTGTGTGTGTAGGATAGGTACCAAGATGGAGTGGATAGAAGGCTAGCCTTAGAATAAAAAAGATCTAGGCTCAAATCCTACCTCTAATACCCATGCAAGTCACAACTTCTCTTATGCCCCAGGTAACTAAGACTGCAAATTTTAGATGAGTTGCTAATGTGCATTGGTGAAAAAAGTTTTTGTAGAGGGAGTCCCCCACACTGATGAAATCACAGGCCAAGTCACTAAATCAAACATAAATAGTTATTGTAGTTTATGTATATAAAATGCCAATTCTGCTGATCTCACTTTGCATCACTTTATGAAGTTCTTTCCATATTTCTTATATTCTTCAGCTTCACCGTTTTTATAGTTGTTGCCCACAACCAGATAGTGCACCGAATGGAAAGGCGTGAAATAAGACATGAAGAAGTGGACCAGGTGGAGCAGAAAAACTGACTCAGTTTATTTTTCTGAGGGTACAGGATATATAGAGAAAATCCATCCTAACTTCAAAGAGTCCTCCCTGTGAGACACTCCTGAAGCATCTGCTAAGGATGTGATAACATACATTTCCTCCTTATCAGAGTTCCTAGATAGAGTTGTAAATTCCAAGGCCTTTTCTCTGACACCTGTATAGAGGAGTGAATATGTAAATCTAAGGTTCAAAGAGTGAGCAGGAATGTCTCAGGAACTTCCTACAGGGAGAGATTGGAGAGCCATGCTTCTTTATTATTGAGCCCTTAGGGTAAAAGCCTGGGCAAAGGTCAAACTCTGTCCTGGATCTTAAACCCATATCAGACTCTTAAGATCGGCCCTCTACATATAGTATCATGATATTTAATTACATGAATTGCCATGATTTACTCAGCCATTCTCCAATTGGACATGTAGGTTGTTTTCACATTTTTTCTCTGTTACCAATAAAACAGCTATATATACTTTTGTACAGATATGCTTTTTTTGTTGTTGTTTTCATGATATTTGGGTTAAATGGAATAATCAGTTCTGTGACTCTAATTGAACAGTGTTGCATTGTTCTCCAAAGAGTTTACACTAGGCTACAATCCCAACAACAAAGTAACAGAATGCCTATTTCTCCACTGTCCTGCCACCGTTGAATTTTATCTTTTTTTCTCCCAATTTTTTAAAATTTCTAATAGTATTTTAATGTTGTATTCATTAACATTTCTTTGATCTTTGGAAGAACCTAAACAACTCAGATATAACGTATCATGGGTCAAGCTCTTCATTTTACAGAAGACGTGAAGAAACTGAGAACGAAAGAGATAACTTTTGTCCCAGGGTTTGTGGTAAATTACAGCCCCAGGTGCCATGTTTTCCCACCCATAAATCTCCCTAAATCCCTTTGACTCCATAAAGGCTCCTTATAAATGGTCCCTACTATTTTCCATTTGATCCTGATTGAATCCAGGTGAGCAGCTCTGTTTTTGCTTTGGAAAAGTAGCTCTGTAATGCAGAACATTATTTTACCATTTAGGTAGTAGAACCCTTTAGGCCATGGAAAACAGAAGTTGCTGCTTAATCTTGCCCTAGACCCTTTCCTCCTAAATCTAAACAATAGTGAAATGTACTCTTGCATAGCTCAGGCTCCAGCCCTCAGATCATATCTCTGGAAGCCTCCATTGTGAGAAAGTTTTTTCCTTTGTTGCAGAGCATTATCATGTCTAGACAGAGGGAGAGGGGTGTCCTTGACCAGCCCCAAAACTCTTCCTCTTGCCAGACTTCAAAGATCCATCCCCCTCCCTGTCCTGTATACTCCCTATATAAACCCTAGCTCAACCCCTGATGGGGGCTGCTTGATTTGGATGTGAATACCCCTGGCAGTCGCGCGCTAATATAATAAAGTCCACAACTTAAATTAGTCTGGGTCAACTCGCTAATTTCTCGATATAACAGCTCTAGATGGATTTTTCCTGGGTCGTGGACCCAGTGGTGTGGGGCAGGTGGGTTGGCCTGGCAGTGAGAGAGTGACAAGGATGCCAGGAGCTTCCAAAAGAAGAAACAGCTTTTGAATTTTTTTTTTTTACCTACGAGAAACTCTTAACCTAGTCAACAATTTTGTTTTGGAGAAAAATTAGATCATTTTATATTATCAGGATAAGGATAGACTTTTTTTAAAAAGGGTGAAGTCCAAAACAACAGAGCAATTATAGGACCTCAGTTTTTACAAAGCAAGGAGGAAAGGAGACATTACTAGTTCTTGTAACCCCTTCTATTGAACATGAGCCTTTGCTACAGCTGTTACATTCTGATATAGGGCTGGGAGGTTCATTTTGGGCTTCCTCCTCCATTTCTGGTGTACAGTTATTAAAGTTCTCACAAGATTGTACAGGAGGAGTGAGGCAAGTGTTTCCATGTCCTTCCCCTTTCCCCGTGCTCCTTTCTCTGAAGCCCAGAATTTTAAACACTTTCCTTACCTGTACTATCTGGTAAGTTTGCTCTAGTGAGTGAGAACTCATAGGACTTTGGAGGACAAATACTACTAAAATTCAGAGTTCTGTGTACTTCTACTACTATGACATATAATATAATAACATATACCATAAATCACCATAGAATTGTCGCCAGCACACAACTGAAGCACCCTGGTTTTTCAGTCCAAAATTGGTTTATAACCTTTCATCGTGTCATGGCATGGTATAATTCTGTTTGTCACACGGCTTAAAAGATAAACAGAGCATTCTGTTTTCACATTTCATTTCTGTATTCATCAGTGGCATATGGATGCCCATTTATGTCTGGTGCACTGTCACAGGCATTGGCGGTATATTTCTGAAAGCCGACTTGCATGGTTTATTTAGAATGCTGCAGTACTGCAGTATTGTCACTCAACCCAGTGAAGAGCCATAGGGGCAAGGAGGTAAAGGAGGGGCAAGGTGGCCAGGTGAAGCTGTCATGAGTAAGTCACGCTGATGGGGGTGGGGCCCAAACCAAGATCTTCACCCTTTGCCCCAAAGGGAATCTGACTCACAGGCCCCAGACCCTCATCTCCCTTTGAAAGCCTTAGGCTCCCTTTTGTCTATAGGCCCCAGAAAGGCCTTCTCTGGTCTCAAACCATTCCTCAACGACTCCCCCCTTATCTCCTTTTGGAAGTCCTAGCCCCACCTTGATTTTGTGCAGATGCCTTTCAAACTTCTGCCTTCCTGTTCCCTCCATTATCTATTCCCATTGTCTATTCAATCTCTCTGACCTCCCCAATTAGAATTCTTACCTAGACCCTTTTCCCAACCCCCTTCTCTGGCCATCCAAAGTTACTTTAGTATTTAAGATCCACCTTGGCCCTCATTC